CCCCTCCTGGGGTGTCTGGGCATGCTGTGACTCCCCCCCAGGGGCTGGGGCTGTAGCCTGGTCAATGAGGGGAGCTTGAGCAGGGTGGGAGCCTCTTTGGGGTGAGCAGATGCAGCTCTGTCTCCAAGAACCTGCCCCTGCTCCCCTACGCTGCCAGGCGGTGCGTGTCCCATCGCATCCCCACTGCGTCAGCGTGCGAGCTGGCGCGTTCCCGGGCGCTCACTTTCCTGTCTCGCTCGCCCGTCCCCGGTCATGAGACGCTGGTGACGTGTGCCTGGGCGATGAAGAAATTGCAGCCAGCCCATGCGGTCACCGGCGCTATTTTTGTTCTCCTTGGGTATTGCACAGTCCCCTGCCATCCGCTTTCCTCCGGCGGGGTGGCCACCGTGGTGGGAGCCCTGAGAGGTGACGGTGCCATGCGAAGGGGACAGGGCCACCACTGGCCATGGGGGATCTGAGCGTGGGGGTGCTCTGCCCACATGGTCCTCCTTGGCCAGGCAGGGTGACCAGGGGGTTCTGCCACAGCATCACACATGGTGGAGGGCCCGTGGGGCTGGGGAGGGAGGGATGGGTGGATGGACAGATTGATGTAGACATGGAAGGATGGATGGATGGAGGGATGGATGGACAGGTAGATGGATGGGTGAGTTGATGGATGGACAGGTGGATGGAGGGATGGATGGACAGGTAGATGGATGGATGAGTTGATGGATGGACAGGTGGATGGATGGGTGAACAGATGGATGAGTTGATGGATGGATGAGTTGCTGGATGGACAGGTGGATGGATGCGTGGGCAAGTGAACGGATGTATGGGTGGATAGATGGATGAGCAGATGGACAGATGGATGAATGGACAGGTGGATGGATGGATGGTTGGTTCGTTGTGTGGATAGATGGACGGGTGGACAGATGGCTGGATGAAGAGGTGGATGAGTGGTTGGATGGGCAGATAGGTGAATGTGTGTACACATGGATGGATGGGTGAATGGATGTATGAGTAGATGGATGGATGGTTGGTTCATTGGTTGGATGGATGGGTGGATGGACAGTGGATGGATAGGTGGGCAGGTGGAGGGATGGATGGATGGACAGGTAGATGGTCAGACAGATGGCCAACAGCCTGGCTAGACAGACAGATGGACAAACTGCTCCAGTCAAGGAGGTGTGGAGAGAGAAGTTCTGGTTCCTCCACCCCTCCAGGCACAGCCCGGCCCCACCAAGCCCAGCCCAGCCACCCCCTCTCTGGGGATGCCAGGAGGAGGAGGAGGAGGAGGAGGAGGAGGTGCTGGTGGAGGAAGCAGCACCAGCCCTGGTCCCAAAGCAGAGTCCTGCAGGTCTTGGGGCAGCTGTGGAGGGGAAATTTTGGGAAAAGAAAATGTTTCTTCTGGATGTGAGTTACGGCCGCGCTCTTTCGCCCCAGAGGAGAGGTTGTTTCTGGGTTGTCCCTCACATCACGGCCGAGCCCTCTTACTGTGCAAATTCAGCATGGGGCTCGTCCCTGTGTTCGCGCTGGCAACTTCTGATAGTCACCAAACCCACCCAGATTGCCACGCATCCTGAGAAGCCGATGAAATAGATTCATTTTTATGGGGTGGTAAAAGCCCCTGTTGGTGCCAGGCTCCATGCCCTGGGAAAGGGGAGCTGAGAGGTGCAAGGAGGTAGCAGCTGAAGCTGCTGGCAGCGCCGAGGCCGTGCCTGGCCCTGTGGCAATGCTGGCCGGGGCCATGCCAGCCGGGCTGTCCCCCGGAGGGATTGCACAAGGCTGACGCAGCAGTGAGGGCAGCGCTGCCTGCACCCCTGCTCTTGCTGGGCTTCCGCTGCCCCTGCGCCCTTGGGCAACACCCAGGGCCCCGCGCAGGTCCCGGCGTGGCTGTTTGGCACCGGGCGGTTGCATTTCCTC